GTGTGTGTGTGATCACTTATAGAAGCATGTAAGCGGTAATGTAAGTATATATGCATGTAAGTGTGAATTATGTATGTATTCAGGTAAGTATCTGTGTGTATTTGTATGCAGGATTTTGTATACATGAAGGAATGTGTATATTTCAATAACATATAAACTGGACGGTGTATTTTCACAGAATACGTGAGGGCTGCTGGTGTAAATGAAAAACATGCAAATTAGGTACCTCATTTGCATATATTGGCACCAAGAGCATTACCGCGCTTGCTCACGTTGACTGCCTTCCTGTACCAAGTGTGGCCAAATTCAATCTATCAGCGGCTGAGATAACGTACGGACGAGTTTGAAAGTAGTAAACACACACACACACACACACACACACACACACACACACACACACACACACACACACACACACACACACACACACACACACACACACACACACACACACACACCACACCACACCACACCACACCACACCACACACACACTTTTAAATGACCCAATAGTTACAGCTGGTCGGGGTAAACAAAAACAAACCAGACAGAGGGAGAGTTTGCACATTGTTAGGATAATTGGCTGGGAGTGAGGCCACATGTACAGTACAGCTGGGCACACGTGGCCACACCACCTGGTTAACCACAGACAGAGCGACACAGACAAACACACAGATAGATACATAGGTATATAGACAGATATAGGCAGACAAAGAGGCACGGACAGACAGACACACAAACACACACAGACTACCTGTACTGACCAAGGACAGACCAAGAAAGCCATTATAAGTTTATTTCCATTGGAGCTGTTTTACATAGATACATACAGGCTATGTATGTATGTATGTATGTATGTATGTATGTATGTATGTATGTATGTATGTATGTATGTATGTATGTAACCTACCAAGTCATTAAGAAAAATACAAAACTAAGAGTAATGCAAATAACTAGTTATTTCAATACAACAAAGAATATAAAAAGGCTCACTAAACATACACCATATTAACATCAAGTACAACACATACTTTTTAGATTATCACAAGACATCGAAGTTACACGGCACATATCGAGGTTGTCCAACACTTGTGGCGTCAGGAGGTATATGTCTTCCACTTTACCTCTAGCGCAGTGATTTTCAAACGGGAGGCACTTGGCTCCCAGAGGAGGAATTTCAAATCCAAGGGGAGGAATTTTAGCCAGGGGAGGAATTGGGGAGGAATTTCAATCAGGGAAGGAACTCGATGAAACAACAGTCCGTGACAGAGAAGCCCTTCTTCTTGCCTATGCAAGGTTCCAGCACAACTCAAAATTCATGGAAGAGATGCTATTTTGCGAGTCTTTGAAAACCACCACCACTGCGCAAGCTATCTATAACGTGGTAAGGAAATACCTGACAGACAACGATATTCCAATAAGTAACAGTGTGTCCACTGCTGCGGATGGTGCACCAACAATGATGGGACGACATAAGGGAGTACTGAAACTTCTGAAAGATGATAAATCCTGATAAGATGACTGTTCACTGTATTATTCACAGAGAGAGTTTGGCGGCTGCTAGGCTTAGTCCTACGTTGGATGAATTAATGAAGAAGGTAATAAAAGTGGTAAATCTGATAACAGCACATCGAAAGACTGAAACACTGTTCAAAGAATTCTGTAAGGACATGAATGAAAACTATATGAGACTGCTCCTCCATACCCATGTACGATGGCTATCAAAAGGCAACTGTCTGGAAAGGTTTATTGCCCTGCATGATACTTTGTTGGACTTTGGTAGAGATCGTGAGGACTTCCAGTTCATGAAATCCATTGAAGCCAAGGCCATGATTTCATATCTTGCTGATATTTTTGGTAAATTAAATGCATTAAATAAGGAACTGCAAGGTGAGCAGAAGACTCTCATGGATTGCAAAACCAAAATGTTTGGTTTCATCAGTAAACTGGGTTTTTTGAAGGCCCATGTCTTGAGAAATAACCTCTCTCACTTCCCACATCTCAGTAAATGTGTTCCATCACAAAATGTCTTACAAATTATCTCAGAAAACCTCTCCAACCTCCATGATGACCTGAGCGACAGATTCTTTGATCTGAAGCAGATAAACTTCCCTTCTTGGGTTGCTCAGCCATTTCTCTTTACGTGGGAAAATAATGACTGCCTGGCTAAAATGGAGTCTGATTAGATCGACGAGCTAATGGACATGCAAAATGATGACAGTATGAAACCGATCCATGCTTCAAAACAACACTTCATGTGGCTGGATCCCCAAGATGTTGCCAAATATGAAAAATTAGCTACAGAGACTCAGCAAGTGCTTTTGCCCTTCCCAACAACATATTTGGTTGAATGTGCCTTTAGTGCTGTTACGGATATGTTGACTAAACAACGAGGATGTCTCAACATTTGTGATCGTGGTGACCTTCGAGCAAAACCAACTGGATTTGTTCCTCGGTTTTCTAGTTTAGTTTCTCTGCCCGCAGGCCACAGTGGGCATTAAATCAAAAGAAAGTTTTCTGATCCATTGAAATAAAGATTTCTTTTTTTTCATTTGATGGCAATTAATAAAGCAATTTAGTTTTATAAATTGTTTCAATAATTACCGCTTAAAAAGTATAATGGTGAAAATATTACTAGATGACAATTCTGGGGGAGAAACTGAGGAAATCTGGGATCACAAGGGGAGGAATGTGACCTGGGACTCTGAGAACTACTGCTCTAGCGGGTCGTGACTATTGTAGGTTGGGTTAACTTTTGGTGGTTAATCTTCTGGTAAAATTTAGGTAAAAAACTGGGGTGTCTAATCTTCAAGTGACTTTAAGCATCTACACAAATATTTCTTTGTTACACTTTATTATTATTATTTTATATTTGACCAAACGATATGATGGAGATGTTAAATGATGGATGATTTTGTGATTGATTACGGATGAATGAAGTCCAGGAGAGATGATGAAAGTAGATTACATCAGTTTCCCGTCTTGGCACCGTCTGCTGGCACCGTCTGTTGGCACCGTCTGCTGGCCCCAACGGGTGGCCACTCACCGCCCAGGTTGGACGTCTACCTCATATAATTCACTAATTTATATCCCTATTTGGTACTCTTCTGGCCAGGAAAGACACAGTCTTCAATTTCACTATATATGACCATTTCCCAGGACTCGTAATCAAACGCAGGCAAATATTATATATATATATATATATATATATATATATATATATATATATATATATATATATATATATATATATATATATATATATATATATATATATCATGTAGATCGACAATGAAAACGTGGATAAGATAAATCTTGATAAAATCACGCGGGAAAAGGGAAACAACGGAGCACCTTAGCTTTCGTGTGATTTTATTAAGATATATATATATATATATATATATATATATATATATATATATATATATATATATATATATATATATATATATATATATATATATATGGTCTAGTTCTAGTTTATTCCCTCTGTTTAACGATTTACAGGAAGCAATACACAGCCACCTCTATCCCTCACCTTTCAATATACTTTCTGGGTCTTGTAGGTAAACATTAAGTGACAACCGTGTGTTATGGCTGTGACTCAACACCCACTAACACATGTGTGGAGACCAAACAACACATGTGACAAGTGTTGAAAGTCGTATATATAAAACTCTCCCCTGGCATTATGAAGATTACGTCCACTGTTAACTTAATTAAACACTATACGTAAACTTGTTGCTTCACTTTATGGACTAGCCACTACTACACCCAACCCCAAGTACACAATAAGCATGATTAAGAAGTTTATAACATAGTTATTGTCTCTGGAACTGTGACACTGATAAATTAACTTTAAAATGGCAGAGGTGACCATGGGTTTACATTGGGACAACTTGTGTTTACAGTGGGACACCTCGGGTTTACATTGGGATACCTTGGGCTTACATTGGGACAGACACATCAGGTTTACATTGGGACACCTTGGGTTTACAATGGGACACATCGGGTTTACATTGGGACACCTTGGGTTTACCGTGGGACACATCTGGTTTAAAGTGGGACACCCTTAATCATGAAACAAAAAATAACAGGTTTACACAAATAGGGATCGGGTTTACTGCGTGTAATCCCGTCACCAGGTCGAAACTGGGCTTACACAAGATAAATCTGGCTTACACCATGTAGTTCCCTCACTAGTAAAACAAACACGAACTTGGGTTTATACCAAGCGTTCTGGAGTTTATTCCGTGTAGTCCCCTCGCCGATAAGACAGAAAGAAGATGGGTTTACACAGAGAGAACTCGAGTTTTCTTCACACTGTCCCCAAAATTATCAAATTATCAGGCAGGTGGGAGGATGAATTATCTCTGAGCACAACAATGGGCGTAATCCAGGCCACAATATTACTAATTATAATTGAGTCTTTTTTGAGTTGCAACAAATGGGTCGCGTCAGCGTTGAATGCGTCTTCCTGTGGCATTACCAACGAATGAGTCTTCTTCTTCTTCTTCTTCTTCTTCTTCTTCTTCGGAGTGTAGGACAATGACGACGCCAAGTACATAATGTGATCAGATCTACAAATAACTGCTAGACCTTTTTATGCTTAAGGGAAAAGCCAAAGACTATGATATTTTAACAGTTAACACCACAGTCAACCACCACCTCCATCTTACAGTCAGTGTGGTCGTCGTCCTCAGTCTGTCACTAATATTTTTCAGGTAAAACACACACACACACACACACACACACACACACACACACACACACACACACACACACACACACACACACACACACAAAAGATCTTACCAGAATCTTACACAATAATAAACTTTAATCCCCGACAACACAAAACTCTTTATTGTATTCGTGTGACAACCTGTGTTACTGTGACGCCTCCTGACTACACATAAACAGCTGTGGTTGATGTAACTGTACCATAACAGTTACAACAGATGAGTAGTCAGCGTCTAAAAGGTTATTATCATTCAAACACATTAACTTTTACACAGCGTCGACCAGGAAATGTGAACACTAAACACCACTTCCTTCCTGTTTGTAGAATTACGTCAGGTTAAATTATGGTTTTAGTTTTTTTTTTTAATGCCAAAAGTTAATTAATTTACCAAGCGCTGAGTAAACCTGGGTGTGGTGACGTCAGCTGGATCAACACTATGAGGCCGGGAGATCCAACATACTGACGTAAGTACACAACACGGATTAAGAGTAGAAGATATGAAAAAAATAAATATCCTGAAATTTACCAGAAAAAATAATTAGGCTGTTGTGGCCATGCCGTCAGGGCTTCGGCGAATTAGCAAGAAACATGACTGACCTATGTTAGAATGAATCACTGAGGACCGTCAGATCTGCGTTTATACCACTCAACAGTTTCGTTCCTGCTAAACTCAGACATAGTTCAGTGTTGGTTTTATGTCATTTCGATAATCATTTTCGCCACCAGTTTCGTTAAATACAAGTAAAGTACACACAAGTAACTAACGTTCTATAAACATAACTCCCAAACCTCTAGTTTAGCGATGACCCCCATTGTAAAGTATTGTCAAGTGTTCCCCACGGCGCTGGTAACACTGGCGCAACAATAACAAGTCAGTTATTGTCGTAACTGAAATCCTCTAATCGAAAAATATTGTTTGTATGAAGAGTTCGTCAGTGTACGAGTGGCCAAGCAGAAACACTTACACACGTCAGACTATTGAATTTTCGGGTTCGTGGACAACAACAATTTCATGTGAAAATATCAGCTATAATATCCACATCTCGTTGCACTATTTATAATCACCTGTTACCTATTTACCCACGAAAAAACAAAACAAAAACAAAGTTAAACCTCACTGTATAGTTGTTTTAGGCCCCAGAACTTACACGATAACATTATAATATAGTTTTAGAGACGTTTTAATCTCACTTACCTTTTGGCGAGGCGACCATGGCACAAACTCATCTAGTTTCTCCATCTGAAACATAAATAATGTAGATTAATGTCATGGAAACAAAACTTTACAGACAAAGTGATGACTTAGTGACAGTTATCCAGCTGTTGTTAATTAGTTTCCCGCCAGCGCCATCTATTGAGGGAGTTAACAATCACAGTTGGAGGTGCGGCGAGTGTGGTCATAACACGTGGTAACACTCTCCTCAATAACCATTAAACCTCTCAATATCACTAATTAAAGTTGTATAGAATCTTATTTTAATTCACATCAATATTTACTAGTGTTAAATTTCTCCCATTTACAAGATAACTTAGAATATAAATTTTATCAATTTTTCTTTATTACTTAAGTATTCTATAATATATAATATGCACAACTATATAACACATATACAATTTTCAAAAGATAACATATAAACAAGTCATAACTGTTATCATTACTCTATTTTTCATATGACGCCTCATTATTAAGTATATCATAATATGTTTCAACTCCGGCGAACTAAAACATACCAAGTTCCTGCCTCACCTCAGCACCTTCATCACAACTACAGCTTCGAGGTCATAATTTTGTTAAAGGGTAAGAGTCCATATTTTCTACCAGTGTTGTGTGGCCATAAAGAGCTGTGTGGTTGACTAATGGTGGTGGACACAACCATAATAAACTACCAGCATCCTGTGGCCATAAAGAGGTCTGTGGTTGACTAATGATGGTGGCCACAAACATACTAAACATACTAGTGTCGTGTGGCCAGCAGCTAAACCACCAACCAGGATATACATTAACCAAAATATACCTCTAAGACGACATAGACAATGGAGAGAAAGGAAGAAAACCTACAATATTTAATGACTAACTTTTGTTATGTTTACAATAAATATAACCTAACTCAGTATGGTAAAAGAAGTCATGCATGAACCGTAAGAACAGAGCAGGAGAGTAAAGTGTGGTGGTCCCGCGAGGAAAATATATTAACTGGAGGAGAATAAGATAAGTCAGGACCAGCCACTGTAGACCAGAGTGAAATACGGAAAGACGAGGACGAAGCTTGACAACACACACCCAGTTCCAATTACTGGGGCTGAGAAGAATGAAGATTAATTTCACAGGGAAGTAAGTGGTGCCAGATGACTCCCTCCCCCCCTCACCCCCCCCCCCTTCCTTGTCCCCCTTAAGAAGGAAGGATTGAGGAGAAGCAGATAGAATGACCTGACCTAAGCTAAGAATGGTGTACCGCAGCCACGAAGAATTTGGAAAAAAATAATAACAAATACAATATATCGTTGCCACATTCACAAACAAGCTAGGTGTCATGAATGGGTTTGATGAGATAGTCTGGGTATATTTCAGGAACGGGAATGGTGAGTCTGAGTGCATTTCAGGAATGGGAATGGTGGATCTGGGTATATTGCAGGAATGGAATTGAAGTATAAGAATTTAGGTAATTTCCATATTATACAATTCAAGAAATCAAACTATTATTACACACAACTAACACATAAGACTATATTAGATTTATGGGCAATGGAATGAGGAGA